TGAACTAGAGAAACTTGAGCAGCTCATTGCAAAATTAATTCAAGCTCGAGCTAATCTTATAGTGTCCATCTTCATGTGAATCAAGTTTTAATTATTATGGTCAAAATTAATTCCCAAATAAACCCATATATAAATGAAGGATTTGTTATGTATTTGTAGATGAAATTATTTGTTAATGTATTTATAGATGAAACTTTATTTTTTGATGATACACCCAATATGACTGCAAAAAAAATAAAATAAAATATGTATATATGTTTCCATACAAGTTTTTTAATAGTTGGATATCAAATGATTGGCTAAACACGTGAAAACACTTTTATCTGTGCATGTCCATATCATTGATTCATTTTTAGGGCGGTGTATGAGGTTATCTCTTTAAAGTTTCCATTGTTCTCAAAGTTTCAAATAAATTGTGTGCCTTCTTGGGAATTAATCTACTTTGTCAAGAACTTGCCTTCACATTGATTGTGTTTTGCAACATTTTTATATTTGTTTGTTGCTTTTGGTAAGTGATTGGAGTCTCAATGTTATATATTTAACTTGTTAAAATATATTTTATTAATCTATTTATTTTTACTATTTTACAATTTTATATATTTTTCTGTGTTTTTATATATTTTGAATGTTTGTATACATATTAGTGTAAATAATATATTTTAGATATTTTATATATTGTATTATATTTATAAATTAAATATAAAAAAAGAAAAAACAAAAAAAAAAACAATGTCAGCAAGCCGACACCCTTCCATTCACATATAATGTATATATGTACATATATTATATAATTTTATTAAATTAAGAGTTGTTTGTTTGGTTTGATTCTGCAGGTTTGGCCTATAAAAGGGGCAGATGGGAGAGGGCGAGGGCTCGATGTGTCTAAAAAGTAAAAAAAATTGAGAAAAAATATTTTAAAAAATTAAGAAATACATAAAAATACAAAAAAAATGTACTAAATTCTTATATTTTTGGTATTTAGTGAATTTTTAAAAGATTTTTTTTACAATTTTTTTACTTTTTAGGTGTATTTATGTTAGGTGTGTCTAAAAAGTAAAAAATTTGCATAAAATATTTAAAAAATTCAGTAAAAACAAAAAAAAACGCAAAATAAGATTATAGAATTTTTTGAAAACTGTTTTTAAAAAATGGGAATCAAGCAAAGTGAATATTTTTTTTTTAGGGTAGAGATGACACTACCAAGTAATTATGATTTATTGTATTTAGTATTTTTAGTTTAGATTTGATTTGGATAAATTGTATAACTTTCAAATATTTAGATCTTTTTCTGCAATAAATATTTTATTCAAATCATATTATACAATTATTTTCACTGTTGTATATTAAAATTGTTAACGAGTCATACCTAATAAAATGGTTCGTGCATCAACTATAATTTAATTTGATTTAGTTTAGTGGTGAAGGTCCGTACTAAGTAAAGATGATTCGTGACTTTATGGGTTTTAATATACAAATCCTTTTGACGATATATTTCTGATCAACTTATATCATTTTATCCAAATTAATGATTTTCTACAAACTAATATAATAACCACTAATTATAAGGTTAGTTGTGGACTCAAAATCCTAAGAAATTTCTTATTTTATTTTATTTATTTTATGTTTTATTAATTTTAGTTTTATTATTTTCAAAATCAAACTCTTTAAATTACTTTAATTATTATTTTTATATCAAAATAACTCGATTAGTCCTGAGAATCAATACTCAATCTCAACCACTATATTTCAAAAGGGTCCAGCTTGTCTCATGTTGATCGGATATCAATAGTTATCCGAATCGATCGTCTAGTCCGTCCCATAGGGCCCATTTTTAGGCTTTGTTTGGATAATTCGAACTGTTTAATGTGTAGAACTCGTCGAGTACTATATTCTTATAAAAAATCACGTTGATCGGATATTGATAACTATTTGATCAGATCAAATTTGTATAAAAAAATATATACAGTGAAAAAATAAACGGTTGACAGAAATCTGATCCGATCAAATAGCTATCGATATCTGATCTACGTGATTTTTTTATAAGAATATGATACTCGACGAGTTCTACATATTGCACGGTTCGAATTATCAAAACGATGCCAAAAAAGGGCCTCATAAACCGGACTAGATGATCTAGTCTTGATCTAAATATGAGACAAGTTTAACCCATTTCAAAATAGTAATTATTACTTGACTATAAATAGAATATTTTAATATACAAATGACAACATCAATAAGTCATCTTTGCAGATCAATCAAATCAAATCAAAGCCTTGGAAATAAATTTGGCAGCAGGATATGATTTGGATATGCTAGAGGAGCAAAATAGAACACATAATCTCAAACATCATACATAACCACAGATTTTCTTTTCTATAATTGACCAATGTATTTAGTCTGTACTCTGAGTAATATTTAATCTAATTATCTAGAATTTATATTATTTTAAGAAATTGTTAACTCATTTTGAGGGGTGTTTATAGTGTTATAATTATCCCTTTGAAATATTTAACTTTCGTGTTAATGCAATGCAAGTATGTAGGGTTTCACACCTAGGACACATAACTTAACAAAAATTAAGCACAAAGTCGAGTCTACAAGAGGAAAAAGAAAAACAAAAAAATTCCTATATTTTCTATAATCTAAACTAAAAGCTATTTTTGTCATTTTAATATTTGCAAATTTCATTTCAGTTTTTGTCAATTAACAGACCCCCTGTTTTTAAGGCTGTATTGGTTGTGCTAAGACTGTTTTTTTTCATCCATCCTTCCCAACATTTTGTTCAAACCAACAAAGTGATCCCCATGCGCGCTTTGCACGGAGTGTCAACTAGTATATATATATTATATATATATATGCGTGCATAGGCTCTGCTAAAAAAAAATCACATGTCACTCTGCCAGGAAGCCTAAAAAGGAAACTGGCCCACTACATAATAAGACTACATTTTATAAAGAAAACATTGCTACTAGCCTAAAAAAATTAGACGCACTTTTTAAATTTAATGATTTGATTTGTATTAAATATCTAACTTCAATTTTTTTTTAACTTATACAATTAATTATTTTTCAACACATCACTAGATTTAAAAAGTGAGTTTATATATATCATTTATTCTTTTATAAAAACTAACGGCCTTGTTTGATTTGTCTCTCTGAGAGACAATTTTTTTAGAAAAACTTTCAAAAAATTTGTTTGATTAAAAATTTTAAAAAACAAATCTACAAATTATTTTTCCTCTCACTTAAATATCAATTATATTTTTTTTATTATCTATTCTCTCGTCTCTCTCACATCTTACACATCAATTAATTTTTTTTCTTTCACTCCCATTATTTCAACTACCAAAAAACTAAAAAATATATTCTAAACTCGTCTAAACTGAGCTTTGCCAAAATATACAACGGAGTTTATTTTTTAGAAAGTTGTTAAAACAGTCATTTTTTTGACTTTTGAGTTTCACAATCACCTATGCTTTTTTCAGACGTTTACTTCTTTTCCAAAAAAAACCTAAAAGGTCAAAAAAAAAAAGGCTTTTCAACCGTACTTTGCCAAACATGTCAACCAAAGCAAATTTTAAAAATTTTTGTAAACTCTTTCAAAAAAAAAAAATTCAAAATTATTTAGCAAATACCAAACTAAACATGGCCTCTCTTTCCTAACCTTTCGCAAGTTGATTATCAAATGTGAACTACAAAATTCAATTTCTGTTAAACGGAATTTATGATATTGATATTTACTCTTGATTTTGAACATAATCATATTTGGTTGTTAATTCTTTTAAGGACAAGGATAGTGTTGAAAATTTGTGTTTACACCTAACCGCCCCAAGTCAAAGGGAATTTTTCGCCCCCTCCTTTGGGTCCATCTTATCACAAATACTCTGAGCAACAAGTGACAAGCTGAATATTTATATTATTAACAAGACTTTTATAGCAATCATATTCACAACAAACAAATCATGGGAAACTTTAAAGCATAGAAAAAAATGAGAGTTGCAAATCAACTTATGTTTTATGAATAATAGTAAGGATCATGAAAAAAAAATCATGAAATGTTGCTTATAACAGAATTTTTTTATCCTTTAATTAGTGTGTGATATTTTTTTATATGTGTAAATTTAACAGTAAACAAAATCTTTTACTGATCCTTTTTCATGATATTTTTTTCCATGATACCTATATATTTTCTTGTTTATTTTGACGTGTCATGTGAACATGCGCACATACGTCCTAAAATAACTGGCCCAAAAGTCAAAAACTAGTCAAGAGGTGAATCATAACGTTTTTTAGTGCGAGGAACTAACTTTGATTGATAAGAAATGTTTAACTTATGTTGACCTATTGATATGAGGAAAGTGTCAACCGGCGCTCAATCCAAGTAAGAAGGTGTCCAAGGTAAAGAATACTGTTAGGCAAGTGCATTCTAGAGGAAAAAAGAAGACATTCAGGGGAAAATAGAGAACTCTATATAAACATTACACCCACATGGGTTAACAAGTAATGTGTGAGGCAATCTTACTACATTCGAGCCACTCCTTGTGTTTCCTTTGAATAGTTATTGACTT